AATGTTACATTGCTAAAGCAGCTGGCAATGCTCATTCAACCTGCAGTTAATTCTCGATTTGCTGTTCGTTCTTACAAAGGCGGTTATCGGTTTTCACTGCGGGTGATAGCTTCGGAATCAAGCTCCACGTTAACGAATAAATTGACAGATGAGCCAATCATTCTGGGGACTTTATGTACTACTACGACGGCTTGGGCTGTCATGTGTAGAAATTCACACCCCGGTGTTTCACTTTTTGTGATGTTTTCCACGATGCTGAGATTTTCTCTGCAATCAATACTATCATCATTTTCTATCGCACATTACTTGCCTGGACATATTTCAATCAAGTTCTGAGCTGCGTTAGATTTTTCGTCTTCTTCAGGACACTCCATAGGATGTAAATATGCTTTCACAACCTCTACTCCTAGAATCAAATACATGGTGAAAAATAATGTTAGAAAGGGCATACATAGAAGTAAAATGGAATGATGAGACCCTGTGCACTCTAAGGAACCCATAATTGAAAGCTCACAGCTTCAGGCACCCCAGTATTACTCAATTTAATTAAGTGAAGTTAGTGCGATGGCGACGTGCCGATTCTAAGGACTTCGAAAAGAACGGCTTCGATCTTGATTTCAAATTTCCGCTAACGATAAATCAATAATCAGCCAATAATATCACACGATTATGCCCACTATAAAGTACTAGTAGTACTCACTCAGGCTGCTATATCTTGATGGATGGCAATAAAAAAATTATGAAAAGCAATTTCTCTATCTTCATTTAATCTTCGAGCAACGTGATTGGAGGTGCTGTGCAAGACATAGCAGGTAGATCACATTCGATCCCGCATTTCAGAATCATCAAGCCTTCCTTACCTCCGAGGTCGGCAATTTGCTAGGAAATTTGCCTGGCGGAACACAAAAGCACTGACCGAAATAGATGGCAAGATCTGAGTCTGCGACGTTCGATGAAGTTGAGGACGTAATCACATTGAGAACGAGAAGGGAAGTCGAGCTTGTCCAGGGATTAGTCAACATCGAGAACTCCATTCCATATCTATTCATATTTTATCCACCGATCAGAATCCTAGGCATCCTTATTCTATTAGAGGATTTTTGTTAGTATTATCACACATGATGACTTCAGATCTTATGAATATCAATCTTCGTAAACCTCGTTCCTCTCAAGCATTTACTTGAAAGCGCAAGAAAAGAAGCCGTTTCAAAAGCAAAGCACGTTTGAAAATTTTTTGAAATTTAAGCTATCAAATGATGACTCAGGTTTCAAAATTCACCGAGAAATAACCTCTTCACGAGCGCTGTTTGGATGGCTAGAAGGTAGAGTGGTCGACGCTGCGTTTTTGTGCAACATCTTGTGTAGTTTTGAGAGGATCACCACCGGTGATTGCTTTTCCCATGGCTTATGATGAGGCTGGTACAAAAGTAATTGCGGTTTGCTTATTGATGGAATGTGCCTCCTCTGCGAAACCTCTTGAACCACCACTGCACCGTACGTCGTTAGCAGTCTCTAGGCCAAAGTTGATGTTGATTATGAGAGTTGGCTGTGCTGCTACGGCCCACATGAACCTCATGGTCTGAAACCATTATTACTTTTGCATCAACCATGGTCCTTTCCCTAGTACACAGGAAGTATATAATAGCATTAACAACATGACATAGAGCAAGAAATACGCATTAAAATGATGTATTAGTTAACCACATTTATTACATCTCAACATCGAACGACTTATTCCTACAATGCACAAACCGCATTTACATTTTCAGCAACGTAATATCATTTTTTACACTGTTGTCGTGCGTATTAATCAAGAAATAATATCAAAAATTTTTTCATATTTTGAGTGTTTCAACAATGTCTTTAGGCTTTGTTTGAACGAGTCTGTATGTTTAGACTGACACTGGCATAAAGCGAACGGTAAGCCAATTTAAATAAAGCTTTATTCGCAGGAATTCTCGTCCAGTTTCTTATATTAAAAATATGCATAGTTTTCAATTTACTGCATAGCTCTGCTAAAGAAGAAGTTTACTGGAATCATGAAAGATCCAAACTACTTTTTGGATCTGATTGAATAAAATATCTAGGTATACTGGAGAAATCCCAGCAACACATTATTTCTCCGAATATTGTGGTGATGTTTTGGGAATGCCGAATTCTTTTGATTCAATTTCAAAAACAATCTCATGAAGCATTCAGAATGTCATTAAGAGGCAATGATAACGAACCCTAAGCACATGAAAAAATCATGCGACTTTACCGCTTTCGTAGAAAATAAAGTTTCTTAAGATGTGTTCATTCGATATTACATTCCATTAGAGCAATTAGCCTTACACTTTCAATGGCTCAGCTAATAAAAGTCAGCATGAAGATCTAATTTACAATTTGTTAACAATGCTAGCAGATTTTAGTTATTCAAATCCACGCGACACTTAAAAAACTAAGTAGAGTAACTTACGGTCGAATGAATTATGGAGCTTACACCGCATGAGTGCTGGGCGTTTTTAGACAATAATAGATGCAATAATACATTGATATTACATTCCTACAACACTAAATAGAAACATAAGAAACCCTTTTTGATGTGCGGAGACGGCTGATAAGTCTAAATTACAAGGTTTAGATTAAAATTCTTATAAGTGAGAAGATTCATGATAGTTCAATGAGGTTGGAGCAATAGTAGTGATAACTGACTTCAGACCACGCTGCTGCTTTAACTTTTATCTCAGTCCGTCAGACCTTTAACCACTCTGCGACAAGGATACTGACAGCACACTTGTTTAAGAGAAGTAATCCAAATACGATCTTCAAGGTCGGTTATCTCAGGACTATAAGGGTAATTGTCCTGATCGCCAATTTATGGCATTTTTGACGAAGAGAACATCTTCAACGAGCAGACGATATATAGACGACGATATACTATGTCTTCGAAAACCATAATGGATGACGTATGCGAAGAAACGATTTGAGGACAAGTATTAGGATTACCGCAGTAGGTCTGGAAGACGAGCCGTGTGAAGCTAACGGGGTTCACATGCTATCTGATGACAATTAACACGAGCGAAAATGAAAAGCATGTCGAAAAATCACAATAGAAAAGGGGGCGTGTAGTTCTGATGAGGCAGCCGAGGCCGCCTAAAAGGGGAAAATAAGTAAGCTACTAACATACAAAACGTTGAGAAAGCTCAAACCGGCCTTCTAAAATATATCGAAGTTTCAAAACGAGGTTTTTGAATACAGATGACTAAAGAGTAATGTGACAGTCACGTGCCATTGAATGTTAGACGGTTCAGACAACATTTTAAGCTGCCTGCTCCTAATATACTGAGTCTGTTCCCTTAGTTTGTAGGGACTACTGGTGGGGATTGTGGCTGTGACGATTCGAGCGGGATCGAGGAAGCGTACGTAAGCCACTGACATACCAAACCTCGAAAAAGCTCAAAGCAGTCTTCTACAATATGTGGAGGCTCCAAAACAAGATTTACGAAAACGGTTGATTAAAGAACCATTGGAAAGCACAGCGACCGTCATGGTGGCGGAAGTTCATCTCAACTGCTGATTTGAAAGATTAGAATCCATATACTCATAACCACGCAATGACATCGTGGCACCCTCCTTGCTAGTACTCTTATAGTGAGCAATGTTAGCAAAAGTAATTTCAAATCTTAGGAATAGTATAGAAGCTTCATCACTTTAAAGACTGATTTTCTTATTATAGAATGTGTGTGAGAAGTTAGAGATAAACGAAGATGAAGATGTGTTCCATAGAAAAAGTTTTGACACTTCATTGATTTTAGAACTCTGAGGAAGACTTTTTGTAATTGATTTACAACGAATAATAAGAAAACGTCAACATTGAGGTCTGGAACTGATTTATAAAGCAATCGTGTACCCACGATAGATCTTGTCATTCTTTAGAAAATCAGTATGTCAATGAACCCCTTTTTTCTTCCTTTTTTCAAACAATATGCTAATTTACTTGCTATTTGAAGGAATAAGAGTACTTGGAAAGATTAATTTTTGAGGCACTGTGTCCCTTTAAACGAAGGAAACGCAGTAGTTAAAGCAGCCGGACAACAATACATGCTCAAATAGTCAGTGTTTCGACGCCGCTCCGCCCAACCCAAGCATCCTTCCCGATGAATTGGTAAATTGGTACTAAAGTAGCCTAGCATATCAAAAAACAGTCACTTAATACAGCGGCAGTTAACTGCAAGTCACTTTATGGGCCATATATGCATCAAATTACTTCCATGATGCATACTGAATTGGCGAGTCAGCTGGTATCCCGATAGATAACGATAACTTCTCGATCACCATAATGTTACGAAAATCCAGGACTATTAATTAAAGAGAATTTGCTCTAATGTAATGATCCCAAAGAGAATGTTTACAAAGTGTCTCTCTAGATTCGAATATATTTAAAATTCAAACCTTCAAACTGGCAAAGAAGTTCGTGCTTCAAAATCTTTCAACGAAAGAACATTGAGAAAAATAAACGTGTTATGTGGACTAAAGTTAGGTTCCCAATTTCTTTTCGTACTGCAAATATGAGCTCTTAAGCATCATAGTGGAAGATCTGTGTGATGGACACTACGAAAGAAGATTTAAATGTGGTAATGCAATCAAGCTTTTACCTCGTACGATCGCATTTCGCTGATTGATAGAACCTAAGAAAGTTGAGTGGTGAGCAAAAACACGACTTCAAGAGGGAATCGAACCCGCGTTTCATCTATACCGGAGACGCGTGCTACCATCACGCCACCGAGGTACATTCACATTGTTTTTGCTTACCACTCAGTTCTCTTAGGTACATATGTGACATCATAATACTGCGAATAAAGTAGTAAAAAGACTACAATTCTGGAGTATTACATCTAACAGTGGCTGTCAGCTCAACTGGGTTTATGAGGCGAAATCGCATAGCCGACCAAACCTGTTAAAGGCTAGTGGTGACAGCTTCCATAGAAATGTTGAAGAATGAGTGGTCGGGTAAATGTACCTCGGTGATGTAGTGGTAGCATGCTCCCCAGTATGGATGAAACGCGGGATCAAATCCCGCCTGAGGTCGTATTTTTGCTCAATTCTCCTAGGTATACATATAACATCATAACACTGCGAAAAGAAAAACTGTTAGATTACTACAATTCTGCAGTTAAGAAAATTCAAGAAGTTGAGATACGTTGATTAAAACTTGAAATCTGCCATTGCTTCCGCATCATATGGCTGCTAAAGAGGTCACGCCTTCCTGCGTCTGTTCATATCGAGTCGAATGAATCTCACAGGTACTGTTTGATGGCGAAGGTCTAATCATATTTGATGCAATATCAGCCTAATCAAAGTTTTTTTCTGCCCATATGAGTTTTAGACAGAGGTGAATTCCAACAGGATGTCGGTTTTACCTGCGCAGACTTTTATGTAAATCGTAAGTCGCTTAATTCAGAATTCGGCTAGTACATCATCCGTGAACGCTTGGTTAACTGCTTCATTTCTACTTCTATTCTTTGATTTCGGGTTTGACGCCATTTCCGAATTAAATGCTAGGAAGTCCGACCAATTGATCCGCTGAGAAAAAGTAATTCTTTGGAATCGACAGTATGAATACCTGAAACAGTTGTTGCAAGAGAGTCAGGAATCGAAGGAAGACCAATCTATGCAGCCAGCAACAGACCAGTCTCAGTACCCTGCACACTGGGTTCTCCTACTATGGCGCCAGGAGGGGAAACGACCGGTGAGAGCTTAGAAAAACACGGTATACGCAGTACGTTATTGGAACCGGATCTTGTTATACACGCAAACGACACGCCATGTAGATTTTTTTTTACTTTGCACGCATAATGCAAGAACACTTTCCACTGAGGCCAATATTCACGCATTTCTTGACGCAGAAAGCCGCATTGAATTTCATATGATTGCCGCACAAGAAACGAAAGCCAGGAAAACCGACATACGTCGACTAAATGACTATCGTGAGGAGAAGCAAATGAAAAACGTACTAGTGCTTACACAATTCGTATAGACGACCGACCATATCCAGGTATTCAGATAAGATAATCAAGAATGCAAGGAAACCATTAGGAAGTGCTTTATGCAACAAGGTTTGTATTGTATCATCGCCCTTCTGCCCCAATTTATTTTAAGTAAATCTTAACCCCAAAAATTTGAAAAACTTTCAATAGTTATGATTTTCGATGAAAACGTTGTTGTCGTGAAATTTGATTTTATCGCGGCTTGTTGAAATTAATAACCCAGTGAAGGCTCGAACATAACGTAATCCAAGTCCACATCTCATGAAAAGAGAAGATTTCTACCTAATAAAACAAAACATATAAAAAAGCCAGTTTTAGCGGCAAGGTACCAGCTTATCTTCACCATCGATATGAAATTCAATGCATACTTTTTTTAGCATTTTATTAAAGTTTCTATAAGCTTTCAACTCGAGTGTTTTCTTAAGACCAGATCAGATTTCAATATGCCAAATAATCACTTTTGAGCCACGCATTCATGTGATCTGTAAAAAGGACTGACTTATAGGGCCCGATACACGTGTTTCAACTTTGCAATCTCGTCAGTTGGGCAGTCACTTTTTTAGCGGACCACATGACATGCGTGGCTCAAAAATGATTATTTGGCATATTGAAATCTGAGCTGTGGTCTTAGGAAAGCGCTTGAAATGGAAGATATAATATATTGAATATACTAGCCACAAGCAATCGAGTGTACAACACTCTGTGTTCGGTGAAATTTTCGCTGGACACAGAGTGTGAAACATTCGTCGTCGCTAAATCTTAGTGGGAACTGGAGCACCCACATAGTACTGGTAAAAGACGAGAAAGGGTAACTGCCCGACTGACGAGACTTCAAGGTCGAAACAAATGTACCGGGCTCTCTAAGTCAGCTCTTTTCAATAGACCACACGGCAGGCGTGGCTCAAAAATGATTATTTGGCATGACGAAATGGCGTCTCGTCAATTACACTTTATTAAGCACTTTATTTGATCCGTCTTCATAGTGTTCTTTTCCACTGTGCGGCTTCCAACATTTCTAACATTCAATTCTCTTATCGCCTTCTTCGTTGAACGTCGTAGAATATTGGTTCAGCGAGTCTTTTTGCGATTTTGAAGATAAGCTGGCTGTGGCGTTTCATAGGGCGATGTTATTGACTGCCATGGACACTTGGGGGGAGCACCGCTCCAGCATTACAACCACTCGGCCACAGCGCCCCCATCCCCATCAGTATAACAAATAAATCATAATGGCTTTCCGATATATGTGCTAAATCTAGAAATTATCAAAAGTACAAGACATTTCTAAGGGGGACTACATCTCAAGCAACTAGGCCACCACAACAAAAGAGACGGCGAGTGAATATTAGGTAAACATTCCTTCTACATTATCCATTCAACAAAGAGAAGAATATCGTTGCTCTTTCTTTCTCCTTGAAAATTAATGCTGTGGAACAATGATGATATAGTGAAGATCCAAGAATATATTAGATACTTTATTTATACAGACTTAAATCTGTATTTGGACAGAAATTCATGATACACAAAATCCATTATGTAAATTAACAACCTTATAAGGAATTTCCAATCGCAGAAAGGAACGTATTCCAGAATCAAATAAAATTACATTTGCACCAACAGATTCTATTTACGTAACATCTTTTATTGCCAATACTGGAGCGAAATATTTTTTCTGAAGATAGATAGTGCATCTAAAGAGATTTATGTATTAGAAATAGGCGGTCAAATTCGGCAATCAATGTGTAATGTCAGAAAATTCAGAAAATATTTCATCTTTTCTTCCCACTTCACGTTTCTGTCTATCTGCAGTACTTACCAGTATCTGACAATAACAAAGTTTTGAGAACCATTGCCAGAATACGTTTTCAAAAAGTTACTGCACAATAGCTCCACAAAACAACTCTACTTATGTAGCAGCAAACCTTACTAAGTACACTTTGGGGATTCATAGACTTCTATTCTGAATTAGTAGAGTTTTTGAAAAAGCACATAACGAAGATCATCTTATTGTCTCACCTATGAAGTCGCAAGGAAAGAGCGTATATTTGAACACGAAGTCAATCATCCGATACCCTGTTACGTGGACGGCATACAAAGAGTATAAAATAGTCATGAACATCTGCCGATAAAGAGCGCCAGTAATAGAACGGTATAGATGGACAGACGCACGTAGTCCAATTGCCACAGCAGCCGAATAAAGCTTTTTTGAAGGGTGGGTCCATCTTCGTCGGACTAAATCCAATACCGTATATGGAGGTAATACGACAATGAGATTTAGCACCAAAGTGCTCAAAAATATGCGAACTCCTGCTATTGAACAGTAAAATCTATCTGGTACCTCTTCCAACATAGTCATGATATAAAACATAATCGAGAAGACGGCACCACCTGACTGAAGCTGCCTACTATCACAGTTTCGCACACTACTGTAAGCAGTAATTTCGCTTGACTAAAAGGTATATTATGCATTTGCAAGTGATTTTCAGATAGCTGAATGATGACCTAATTATAGTCATAATAGGTCACCTTGGGATGGAAGCGAAATGATGGGAAAAGTAATCGTCGACAAACCATAGATACATCCAAGTACAACGGTAAATTGTATTCGGTATTCGTCAATCCTATAGGAACTCGTCATGCACACGATTCCATTAAGCTTCTCAAAGATGACTGGATTTATGTATAATGAAACAGTTTTTTTACCTTTTCAGAGAAGCTCAGTATTAATTTTTTCTACAGCACAGATTTGGATGGCGTCGTTTGCCGCGGTTGTGAGGTGTAAACGAAGGCAATTCATGTATTACAGAGCACCTCTGATCGTTCTGCCGTCCGTATCCCAGGAAAGAGGCAACGTTTAAAGTTGACCACTACTTGCACAATATGTGCATGCATTCTATTCCACCAACCATAGTATCAGATCAGTACAAAAGTAATTGTGATTTCACACTGTGAATTTTTGAATCATTATAACTAAGCTCAAACACATCGACTAATCAAAGTAGAAACCATTATATTAACACATGTTCTCATATAAAAAATAAATTTGCTCATTACTATAGCGTGAAAACGGCCCCTTGGGACCCTGCGAAATCTTGAAAAGCATTTGCTGCATCATGTTGGCTGTGGAAAAGTTTTCTATGCGAGGGCTTAACAAGATGATTGAAACAGTGCTAGTCGACAGACGTGAGTTCCATCGAGTATGAAGAATGAGGTGAAATTTCACGGCTCGGTTCGCTATACTTCTGAACGTTGGCCGCACTTTTCACCTTTCCAATTTAATTCCAATTGTGAACTACCGCAAAACAGTCGACGTGAAGTCCTTCTTCAACAGTTTATGTAGACTTGAGGAGATTAGTTTCCATAATAGATCTATATTGGAACCTTGTCAACTTCCTATGTCCGATCACCATATGCTCATCTGCAAGGCTCTCGTCTCCCTTACAAAACTTCCTGAACAACCACGTCGTTCTTCGTTCGTCAGCAGTTTCTCTTCCAAATACGCTGTTGGTGTTGCAAGCTTTCTTTGCTGCTTTACGCCTATTTTACACTTTAATAAGATCATCACTGGACTTTGGTTCTGTCTGACGCCCTTTCCACGATCTAAAAAAATACAAATAAACAGTAAGTAATACGTCAATAGCGACAAAACATAAAGGGATAAATGCGCTTTAGACTGATCTTTGACATTACCGCATTTATTTAAGAATATATTATAAGATCAAACGGAAACTATCAACAGCGCATAGACCTCAATTATGTTTGCATCAACCTCAGAGAAGTTATTAGAGGCTTGTCTTGCCCGTACAATGACGTACAGTATCCTAGCGAATGAGTGCTTTTGTCCTCCCAGAAATGTAGTACTACTTTTCCGATCCCAGATAGATATAAGTCTAAGTAATTCCGGAGCAAAGCTTAAACCAGGGTCAGTTTGAAAGAGTACTGCAGGGTACCATTGAGCTTTGCTCTTCTCCCGGTCGTTGACTTCCACTTTATAACAAACTTTTCTATACTCTGACATTAATAAGCAATTACATGACCTTAATA